CAAGCCAACTGGACGCCGTTTTTTTTTCGATCATACGGTATTATGCTAATAAAAAAATCTTATAAAGTTAATAAAACAAAATAATCTATTTATATCCCCTTTTCATATCAGTTTGTTTAGAATTAAAATTAAATTTGTGAGTGGGAACTCTCCAGCGCGCTCTTATACGGAATCCCGGAAAAACTCTGGAATGTCCGAGAGTGTAATTAAGAGCGTTTATATCCTGAATGCTGCGAACTGAATTATGCGTCTATGTACAGAAATAAGCGAGTAAATATTAAATTTCGCTCTACTAATGAAATGATAAATTTTGCAAGTTTATTAGAGAGGACTTAGACTTAAAGGGCGACGAGATTAATTCCAGCGAATTATATGAATTTGTTTGACGGCGTGATATACACCGAATTACTACTAATTCTAAACTTTATTGAAATTGCTATAACATTCTTAATAAAAAACAGAGTACTTATTAATAAAATTATTAATAAATGTTTTGTTTGTTCCTCAACAACAAAAGTTATTTATTTTATTTTACTCCTTACAAACACCTATTGAGGTAGCTACATGCAAAGGTCTAAAGAAAACAAATACAATCACAATTACTTAAAACTAGACAAATCAACATGTACTACAAAAGTACATAAAAATAATATAAATAAAGTAACTATTAACAATTGGTAGACCAGTTATTTGACGCATATTTAAGATGTGGTCTTACAAGAGAGGTATAAAGTCTTGTAGTTGATTGTAGTTGATTGTATATATCGAAATCTTTACTACTACGCATAACAAAACCAAGAATCCTATATGCCTTTTTAATCAGGTAGTTGTAATGATTGTTAAATTTAAAATTGTCCTGAAAAACCACTCCCAGGTCTTTAACTTCCTTACACCTCACAACCTTACAATTTCCAATGTAGAAGTCTTCAATGACTGCATTGATCCTCCGGGAAACAGAGACAACACAACACTTTCCAGTATTAACAAGCATCTTGTTCTCCTTAAACCGATCCAGGTTCAAGTTGAAATCACTTTCGAGAGCTCTAGTATCATCAATTTTATTAATTGGTTTAAATAATTTAAAATCGTCCGCAAACAACAGTCCCAAAGACCTAACCCTCAGACTCTCAGTCAGGCAAATCATTAACAAAGATTAAAAACAACAGAGGGCCCAATACATTGCCCTGGGGTACCTCGGAGGTGCAACATATTGATTGGAATAAACATTACCTATCTTAACTCTTTGAACTCCCGAAGTTAAGTATGAAGTTAAAAACCACAGCGACTCACCTGATAACCCTGATAAAAGTTCACCTTATCATAAGCATTTGCACAGTCCGTATATATGACATCAAGTTACTGTTTGTTTGATATTGCCTTCGATACATGTTCAGAGAACACACATAGGTTTTTAACTTTTGACCTTCCCGGCAGGAAACCATGTTATGTTGATATTACACATTAATACTATTATAACAGATCAAGGGATAAACCGATTCCACGTACCTATTCCATTTCCAAAGGTCGAAATAACATACCAAAAGGTTTTCACTATTATTATAATTATTGCCACCCAACATATTAAAGTAGTTTTTGCTATTCCTTTGTACCTGGACCGGGACCATAAATTTAAAAATAAGACCAAAAAAAATAGTTGCAGAGAAAACACCTGAAACACTCTCTTCACTATTCGGAGAATAGAACGAAACAGATCAAGGTCGCCTTTCGTCCCATAACTTTGTCGTGTTTCGGCTTATCTCCGTTTGTCTTGACCTATTTCGATTTGATTCGACCTACTCCCTTTCTTAAAAGCGCCTCAATACTCATGAAATTGCGGAGAAGGGCGTGGGAGGATTTTTTTAGCGTTTCCTGTTGTCTCGTTCAATTTCGTTTCGTTTCGAACTAATAAAGAAATGCACAGCCGAAACTGATTGACATGAATTGAAACACGAAATTTGGCAAATGTGTTCCTTACGTGATTAAGTGAGCACTAAGAAGGGATTTTTGGAAATTCAACCGCTAAGGGGTTGAAATTACGGATAGAAGGCGCTAGATTGCATACAAAGGTGATAAAATCTGTTCTAAGAGTACGAAATTTTGCACAGAGGTCTCTTAAGCGGCATAATTGAACACTAAGAAGCGATTTTCGGAAAGTAAGTGCTCAAAAAGGATTTTTAAAATTCATCCCCTAAGAGGGTGAAATTAAGGATAAAATTTTATACTAGTGAACGTTTGAATATTTGTACAAAAAACACAAAGGTTTACAGCAGTTGACAAAATTCACAGCAGTACTAAAATCAGTAAAAACTAATCATAGTAGGTAATTAAAGTAACGAATATGGTTTCGAACTGTCTCCAAAACGTAGCGGTATCTGTGCCCGAAGTAAAGGACTTTTTTTCATAAATCTTAATGAAATAGACGTTTCTAAAATGTCTGTTGTTACGATGATATTTCATTAATTACATCTCGTATACTATACAAGCGGTGTACAAATGAGAAGCGCGCAGCATTATTATAAGTACAGCAATATGGCAGCAGGAAGCATATACTTGGTCCAAGTAACTTTGACCGTGTCGTCCTGCCTTTAACCAACATAAAAGAATAGTATTAATAAAAACTCTTACTTGTAACCTCACATTGTTGTCAACATGACATTGTGATGAGGGAAAAAGGCTGTTAATTAAGGAAATCAGATATTTTGCTTTCGCCCATAAAGAAGACATAAAGCTTGAAGAAAATAAGTAAACTTTCATATAATCTCCTCATTAGCACCCAACTTCTTCAAGCGGACAAACCACTTTTGGTAAATTTATTTACACACACTAATGTACACATTTTATGTATCTCTTAGATTAAAACAAGCCGGGCTTTACCTTTGTGTGATTCAGACCTTTTGCTACACTTCAGAGAACAAAAGAGACGACCCTTGAGAGCAAAAAATACAGTTTACCCTCTTTAGTATATTAATAGGGCATTTGTTTAAAAAAGTTCTGCTCCCACAAAATATTGCATTCTGGTACTTGAGGTTTGGTGGGGTTCTAGTTTTATTCTTTTTTTTTCTAATTAAAAATAATTGACATTCCAAGAAAATCTCAAGCGACTTTATTGTCGAATATTATGCATTAAAGAAAAATCGGGAGCAATCAACAAATAAAAACCAAAAATTGTATTTAAGAAACAAAGGTATTCACTGAGAAAATGGATTTTCCATTCAAACATATAATTGACAATAGTGTGTGTTATCGAATAGAAAATATATCACAGTAGGCCTAGAAATGCTATTTCAGATTAACTATTCTATATATCAGTAGCTGAAGCTTCTGACGTCGACAGTGACAGCTAAATAATACTTTACATTTATTTTCACTATTTGTCAAATGTTATGCCCGGTCCAGACCAAGGCGACAAAAAGTAAACACGATTTTGAGACAAAAACAAGACAAACATGCGACATAAAATTGAGAATTATGACAAGACAAACTTGAGAAAAATTGTCCACATATCGCAAGGACAAAAGTACAAAAAACTCAAAAGTTTAGTTGTTGCGAATGAGTTTTATTAACCATGTGTGATTTCACTGGTCTCCTACTGTTGGCAGCACACGCCATCCACACTGCACCGACAACTTGTGGGAAAATATACGAACAAAACATAGACACTTTGATCTTTACCGATTCGAGACGGGACATTGAAAAGTCTTCGAATTTTGAAACAAAACAAAAATGTCGCAGAAATGTATTGGATTTGTCGCAATTTTGTCGTAAAACATGAATGTTTCTGTCTTGTCGTTGTTTTGTCTGCTTGGTCTGGACCCGGCATTAAAGCTACGATATACCAAATATAAATAATTTCTGAAATATTTATTTTTTAACGTTTCTATTGTAGATTTAACATTTATAAACGAATAACTTAATGTCGCTATCAAGGATCTCAGCGGTAAATACAGGGTGTCTCAGAAATAAGTGTAAGTATTTTAGGGGGTGGTAGATCTGGCCAAAAGAAACATATTTTCTGTTTACCATTTTTAAAATAAATTGATAATAACCGAGTTATTTAACTTTAAAAATTTAATAAAACAATGGCAACATTTTGAGAGCCGCCAATCTATAATCAGCGGCAAATACCAAGTAATTACCAGAATTTCAGCTTGTTCGATGCCCAGTTGACACGCCGACCAGAAGATTTAAAAACGATCTGGAAAATTCAGATTAAAAGTAAAAAATTACCATTAGAAAACGGGACTTGGATAGTGATAATTCTTGACAGCACTTACATGTGCATTTGGCACAAAATACATTCTTATGCCATCTGAATTATTTAGGATTATTTTTTGAGAATTTAAACTACTCTATTTTTTATCTCACACTCTTGTTTTTGTGAATAAACACCAAAATAGTTGATAGTTCTATTTGAATAATACAAGTATTTTATTTGCAGGCTTAACTTACAGATCTTGCGAGCTACACAACTCAAAATTCACAATAATGCCACTCTTAATTTTTGACAAAAAAAATATCCTTCTAAATTTACTACCCCTAACAAAATCAATTATTGTATAATAAATAATTATATTATTTACATAAAATAAGCTTAAAAAAGCACAATAAATATCCAAAATTTCAAATCAAAATACACGTCCTTATATTTTTATTAAAAGCTAAATTGATTCCACATAACCTTTTTCCGGAAACTATTACCATATTTTTCCCTGTATATTCCGAAGTTGTTTGGTATATCCCGTATATTTCTACACCCCTATAATTAAAAATTTAGTACGTCCATGATACAAAGACAAAGGCACCGGATATCACAGATATAATTAAAGGAAAGCAAAGTCCTTTGTCAGTTTTGTCTCTCAAACACAGATTTATCTGCTTTCAGTCTATAGCTTTTTACAAAACACCTACTGTTTTGGGACCAATTTTGTTGAATATAAAAATAATTAAACAAAATGAACAAAACAATCGGTATTTAAATTAAGCAATTAATTCCTTTCCAGGAACTGTATCACGAGCAATGCGACTTCGTTTGCATCATGTTCGCTTCGATTCCCAATTTCTCCGAGTTCTATGTGGAGCTGGAAGGCACAACGAAGGAGTGGAATGTTTGAGGCTGCTCAACGAAATTATTGCTGATTTCGACGAGATGCTGTCCGAGGACCAGTTCAGATATATCGAGAAAATTAAGAGCACCGGTGCGACATATATGGCGGCATCAGGTTAGTTAATTTTAGTACAGTAGAGTACGTACAACTTTTAGAAAAAATTGTAATATACCTAATCTAACTCACAAACCTACTTGTTTGAAAAACTGGATAAAAGAAAATAACATCTAACAAAGAGAATTAAATATTGCTTGAATAATAACAAAAAGATCTGTTTATATTCTATAAAATATAAAGGTCCTCACAAATATTTATCTCAATTTAAACAAAACTGTTAATATTTGGTTCTAATTTATTTTCATTACTATTTGGAGACATCTGTACAGGCTGTCCCACTAAGAATAGCTCTCGGCTGTATCTCGAAAAGTATTAGCCGTAGGGCATACGGAAAAAAATTTAAGAATAAAAGGGCTATGAGAAATTGCTGGAAATTATTTTCAAGTTCGTAAAACGGCCGCTAGAGTTAAGTTCAAATAAATCATAAACTTCTTGTTCCAGGTTTAACGCAAAACACTTGCGACATGCAAGGCTACAGGCATGTGATCGCTATGGCGGACTACGCGCTTAGATTGAGGGAACAATTACAGGAAGTGAACGCACACCTGTTCAACAATTTCAAGATACGAATAGGTATCAATGTCGGACCAGTGGTGGCTGGCGTAATTGGAGCCAGAAAACCCCAGTATGACATTTGGGGCAACGCCGCGGTTAACGTGGCCAGCCGAATGGACAGCACTGGGAATATGCGATAAGATACAGGTAAAATTAGTATATAAATTATCATATTGTATTGTTTTCTATCCGCACTGAACTGTACTTAGATATAATCAAACAACAAAATCAATCAACATAATTGTGGAAAAGGGCAATGATACAAGGAATTACTTTATGCCGTTCAATTAAAAAACAGTTTTATAATATTTATGACAAAGAGGACTTTTCTATTAAATTTGTAATTTTCCATAATAATTATTCTTCTGTTATCATATAACGCACACTTGATCACAAATATTTTGATCCTATTATATGATACATGAACACTCAGAACCAATGGGCACCTATCCCAGCATCCTTCAGGCAGAAATCTACCCTATCGAAAGATGCGTACAACTTATCTTAGATAGAATCTATCGGACACAAGAAGAAACACTGTGAAAATACAGGACTTGGTCCTAACGTACGAAGGAGTAGAAGAAGGACACAAAAAATAGCCATCTTTTCCGATAGTCATTCCATTAAAAGCGATCGACTCAATCTTATTATGTAAAACAATAAGAAAGATGATTGCAGAAGACATCAAAAACTACAATGAAAAACTTGTACAAACTGCAATCGAAAACAGAAAAATCTATAAGAACGCTAAGAAATCCCTCATGATCAGAAAAAAGCAGCTAATCGCATTAAGACACAACAACATCAGAATAAGAGACAAAAACGAAATTATAAGCCTGGTAACAAGGTTCTACACAGCGACCTATATAAAGCCCCAAAAAACATACCTACGTGAAGAAGAAAGACTGCCCGTACCACAAGACGACGCCCCAGAAGTTCTCGTGGGAGAAGTAGAAAAGGCGCTTTAAGATATGAAAAATAACAAAAGAGCAGGGAACGACGGAATAACAGCTGAAATACCTAAGTACGCTGGTAGGAGAACTTAGAAAATGCTTCACAGGATGTCTAAGGAGAAAATATATACCACAAGACTGGAATAGCGTCAACATAATTCTAATTCATAAGAAACGCAGCAAGGAAAACATCAGAAATTATAGACCAATAAACCTACTACCAGTAAAAACAAGATATTCGCAAAAATAATAAACAGCATAATACAAAACACGCTAGACGCTGCATAACTAAAGAACAAGCAGGCCCTAGAAGAGTTCAGCACGATTGATCACGGACATAGAGCCGAACATAAACTAGCCTTTGTAGACTTTGAGAAGACTTTCGACTCGATATATCCTAAGGCAATAATCTATATACTTTGGCTTCTATACAAAGAAGCCAATGGAAGAGAAATGATATTTAAAAGAACTCAGAGTTCCCAACTGGCAAAGGAATACGACAGGCAGACGCGATATCCCCAAAACTGTTACAGCAATATTAGAAGAAATCTTCCGTTAACTGGACTAGTCCAACAAAGGATTAAAAATAGATGGAGAATATATTAACCATCTAAGATTTGCTGATGACATAGTCCTAATTGCCAATAGCCCTGAAGAACTACAAGCACAAATTAAGGAACTAAATACAGCCAGCAATAAAGTAGGTCTTAAAATGAATTTAGCAAAAATTATAGTAATGTACAACAAACCAGTAAAAAGAAAAGACATTCTAATAAATTACTAATAAAACAACACTGGAAATAGTAGAAGAATTTATATATTTGTATATTTGTCTACTACCAAAAAATCAACAGAAGAATTAAGTTAGCATGGAGTACTTATGGAAGAAACTCAATCATATTCAAATATAGAATGCCTATATTGAATGCTTATTATTGCCACTCTACACTGTTACATTCTAAAGAAGAAAACATTCGACCAATGTGTACTACCAGTCATGACCTATGCATGCGGAACCTGGACACTTAAAACGGACATCATCAGGAACGAAATATGCTGGGAATAACCAAGAGAGATCGTAAAAGAATAGAGTGACAAAGTGAGAATAGACAAAAGACCCAGGTAATAGATGTCATCCACAGAATCAAATCTCTCAAGTGGTAATGGGCGGGATACCTGGCAAGGAGGACGAACAACAGATGGACCAGAAAAATTACAGCATGGTTAGGTTAGGTTATTAGGTAACTACAACCTAACCATAATTGGAAACGGTTGAATAAGCTGAAAATGATGATGATGCTGACACTCTCGACAAAATAGAGTCTTTGGTCAGTCTAGGAGTGAATAGCTATGACGATCTTGTAAGCCGGGGAGAGAAAATTTTTAAACTGACGCTTTATATCATCTTCTCGGGAAAATATATGCTGTTCTGCATACTTTTTTCAGTACATCTTATTGTACTGAGCACATTGGTTGTACTCTTAGTTCACTCGAAAATCGACATTCAATAAAGTAAATATTATCATATATTTATTGTTTTCAGGTTACCAAAGAAGTATATCAAATCCTCAACGCAAAAGGCTATTTCCTCACGTGCAGAGGAACCATCGAGGTTAAAGGTAAAGGTTCGATGGAAACCTATTTTCTAGAGGGCAAACCCAAGTCTCCTCATACAAATATAACTGTGAATCCCCTGGCTGTACCCCCATCCATGAATACATCTGTGTTAGGAACAATATCAGAGAAAAATTAAGATAAATATTTATTTTATTCTGTCCTTCAGGTTCTGTTAATAGAGAAAGTTAGTGTAGGTATTAGTGGTTTTGTATAAGAAGTCGTATCAACTTTTAAAATGAGCTTTAATAGTTTCTGGATCGGAAATAGTATAATAAATGTTTGTAGTTTTCTATGTTTTGCAATTTAGAGATATTCTTATTGTAGAATTCGAGTTCTTATATAAAACCATTTAATAAAAAGAAACCTACATTAATATATATGTTTTAACAAAGGAATCCTGGCTCCCCAAATAATAACCATACCGTCACCTTTGGCCTAATCTCTTAATCATTTAATTCTATTCATCGACTGAAGATAGCTAGATAAACTAAATCAAAATCATATTTTATTCGATAGAATGGTATTTAATTGGGGAGTCATTATTTACTTGTTATATAGAAATACTCTTGTAAATACTGTTTCTTAAAGTTTATTTTTATGTATATATAATGTTTTTAATAAAATGTCAAACCCAACAAAATTTGATTTATTTCTAGTATCACCATCAACACAATACATAAATAGAATCACTTCTCCTCTTATTTAACCATTAAATATCAGGTTTTACTATTCCGTTCTTTGTAAGCGGATAATCAAACAATATATGGGTGGTAGCATTCCATATTAAATCAATCATCCGTAAAAAAGCAGCATTTCGGGCTGAAATATCTTCAATCAAGGGAAAAGGAGAGTACGTTTTCATGTCTTTATCATCACCGTCGTCATTTTCGATAGGTCTTTGAGAAAATGTATACATATAGCATGAAGGATCAGCACTCACTGTGTGTATTTTGTGAGTATATCTAAAATAAGAACCAACCAGTTATAAAAATTAATTCTTCAAGGATTCTTACCCTTCTAGAACTGACACAGATTCTCCAGCTGATAATTTCATACCAAGTGACTGTTTAGCTACATAGTCCTCCATTTCGTATACTACTTCACCTCTCAATACCGTCAAAGATACATTATGAAAATCCTCCTCAATGAAATTTTCCAGATACATACCTATAAATTAAAATGTGTTTATTGAAGTAAAACTTCTTTTCGCGCGATGGGAGTAAAAATTCAAGGCCTCAGTGGCGTCAGGAAAAGTGGTAACGATCGGAGGTTAAGACGGAGCGTTGTAACTCGAGCCCTATGTGAGCTAAGGGGCTGAAACTCGGAATGTAGATGGAGCTCGTAGAGCCCTATCTTTTCATAATATTTTTACGACGGTTCGTGTACTATGAAACCCCATCATCAATGGAGAAAAAATGGTTCGTTTAATGGGTCTTTGACAAGAATATACAGAGTGTTTTATTCGAAAAATATATGTTTTCCTCAGGACTGAAAAGAACTGACTACACCAGCTCGAAAGAAGCTACACCTCTGGATTCTACGCAAGAAGTTCTATAAAAATGCATTTTCATCTTTCTAATAAGTTAAAAAAACAACCAAGATACAGAGAACGTCCCAAAAGAGCCACTTTTCAATTGCACCCTATATCTCAGAAACAAAGAGGGCTATAAAAATTTTGTTGGTGGCATGAGTGGTTTCGTAAGCAAAAAGTGTCGCGAAAATCGCAATCCTGTATCTTTAAAAATAAGCAAGATATCATGTAAAAGTGTCGTTTATATACAGGGTGAGTCTTAAATAAGTACAAATATTTTAGGGGTAGTATATTTCGACCCCAGAAACATGATTATTAGGTTTTTTTCGCGAAAGAAAAATTATGAAAATTTGGAATTTTTTGGAAAATTGTTTGGATTTTTTTTTAGTTTTGAGTTAAAAAACATAAATTCTTGATAATATAGCAAAATAGATAAATAATATAATATAAATAGAATAAAATTTACAAGAAAGAAAACCGAGAAAAGATCCAGTGGTTCTCAAAATTTAAACAAAAAAGTTTTTTTTTTGAAATTTTTAAAGTAAAATAACTCGGTTATTTTGGACTTATTTGAAAAACGGTAAAGATAAAATATGTTTCTTTTAGCGTGATCTGCCAGCCCTGAAAATATCTGACTTATTTAAGACTCTGTACAGGACATCCTGTACTGCAACAATATTATGTTCTGTAATTCTTATTTAGTCGATTTTCAATAATAAAAAGCGAAATTTAAAATGTCAAAAGAAATTTCAATAAAAATTAAATAAAAAATAAAATATAAGTTTAAAAAAAAGTTGACTAATCAAGCCACTTTACTCAAAAAGAAAATATAGCTAGATAGATATTTCCAACCAAGTTTCGACACACAATATTTTAATAAACAAAAACACTATATTTAGATATAAATAAAAATATTGAATATTTCAGAAATTCATACCTGGAAAATCAGCAACAAAAATCACATTACTTTCATTATTCCATGAATGCACATGTTCAATAATTTCAGGAATTTGTTCCCTAAAATTGTTATATTCAATCATAAGAGGCATTAACCACTCAACCGGTTCAAATGGTGACCACTTTGCCCGCAACAAATCATAATTAGGGTCATACATTCTCTGTTGAAAACGACCATTTAGGGAACACCAGACATCTATATAAATCGATATATTTTTCGAGATGTCAGGAATAACAATTTCTTCATTATTCTCTTTAATGCCTTCATTTAAGTTCTTCTTTATACATTGAGCATACTGCAAGGACATATCTGCATAGTAATTCCATCGATTTTTTAAACTCCAGGCGTTAGGATCTAGAAAATGTTCTTGTCCCGATTCATTATCAACAACTTTAACAACCACAAGAACGGAATTCCAGGAATGCACCATCATGTCCCAGGAATATCCGTACAAACCCTCAGTCCAAGTATTGTATCCCTATAATAATATTGAGTTAATAAGAATATTTATCTAACACATATAATAAGTTTTGGATTACTTTAGTTATGAAATGGGAATAAGGAAGAAACACTTGTAATCCCATGTGGAAAAAAAGACAAGCAACAACTAAATTTTCCTTTAATTTAATTGGGTGACTATATATTTTCTTTCGCTCGGTCTTCTCACGTTTCTTTTTAAAACTTTCATTGGCAACGTTTGATTGAAACCTATCGACTATAGAAGACCAAAAGGTTCGAGGCCAGTTTTCTTTACAAAATAAAGGCAACGTTGCCAAACATACATAAGGGAACATTCCTGTAAGAAAGATTAAAATGAGTGGCCAAGCTAAATAACGTCAAAGGTTTTTGTAGAAGTATCTGTTTTAAAAAAACTTTTAAAGTGTTCTCGGATAGTTGCATTGAAATATTTAATTTTTTTTTGTTCTTTGTATTTTTTTGCTTCCCGCGACGGAAAGAGATAAACTTTCCGAAACGTTAAGCATTTTTTTGTTCGTTCGGCAAATTTGTTTATCTGTAAAAGTCTGGCAAGTAGTTTCCCTTGGATTAGCGCAGGAGTGTTTACAAAAATAACTATTTTATTTTGTAGTTTTGGTGTTTTGTAGTAGTGGCAAAATACCCATATAGGATTTTTTTGGAGAGATGAATCCGCCACATAGGTATAGACATTTTTTTAAATATACAGGATCATTCAGCTCATTCGACAACTGAATGATGAGATCATTGGAGGACTACTAATGCTACAATTTAAAATTATTTTCAAAAAGTACAGAATGTCCCAAATAAATAAAAAACATCAAAATTTTATTATTTTAAATGGAACACCCTGTTTATTATTACATTTTTAATTTCTACGATTATAATAAAGGTGAGTTTTATAAAGGCTTGCCGCATTATAATCTTACCGTTTATGAAAAATCTACGATTTTGTGAAAATACAGTAACCATAATTTTAATGCATCATTTCAATACACAGGGCATTCCATTTAAATTTAAAGAAATACAAAAGTTGTATTATCATATACCATATCAACAATATCAAAGTGATATTGTTTATTTATTTGGGACACTCTCGGACTGTATATTTTGCAAATTAGTAGCAATTTTAGTGTCATATATAGCTTTAGCGGTCCTCCAATGATCCCATCGCACACAATTTTCAAAAATCTAATCATTTGGTTAGTATATTATGTGTCTAATAGCGTGAACAGCCTTGTACAGTAAAAGTGTTCCGAAATGGTAGTTTCCCTGTGATTTATAGAGTTATGGATGAAAATAGAGACATCCAAAAATAATATATTATCGCTAAAATCCCTACATCTGTGGTAGATTTATTAATAGAACTTCCTGAGGATATTATCGATAAAGAAAAAAATTCTTAAACATTTAAAGGATAATTATTTGAAATAACGACTACTGAGACAATAATTAATTCACTAGTGCATAACTAAATTAATATAATGATATGAAACAAACAATAATTTCATGATAAGCGATAACTCAACAACGTAAAATTACATAAAATACAAAAAGTACAAACCTATACTGAACAGTCTGGAATTCATAAGATGAAACATAGAGCAGAAGAATAGTGCTATAGGTCTGCTAAACTCTAGCAGCATCCAAAAACCAACAGTCAAATCCAATAGAAAACCAAACCAGTGTATGACGAGATAGTCAATTTGCTCTACGGAAAAAATGATTCTATAAAAACAATTAGAAGATTCTACTAATATACACAGGGTGAGGCTAAATAAATGCAAAAATTTTCAGGGCTGGTAAAAAAGATCTGGATAAAAGGTACACATTTTCTCTTTACCGTTTTTCAAATAAGTCCAAAATAACGGAGTTATTCAAGTTTCAAAATTAAAAAAATATATTAATTTTTAAAAAAAAAATTGAGAGCCACCGAGTTTTTTCTGTATTTCCATCCCATTTAGTGCCGTAACCATAGAGTAAAGCCGTAATATATGGCCGTAACCATAGATATAACAATACATTATACCGTGGGAAAATTTGTAATGAACAGGAAGTTCTAAATAAAAAGTTCTCTAAAATATACAGGATAATTTAAAAGAAAATGCACGATTTTCATCATCTTTTTGTAGCAAAAAAAAACTCGTAGTTCCTGGGGTCGAAATATTCTACCCCTAAAAATAGTTGCACTCATTTAAGACTCACCCTGAATTAGAGGTAGTAAAAAACTTACCTAAATGGAAAAAATACCCAATGTTCCCCTAATCGAATCAAGGAATATCCTTCTAGCCATTCTGCTCCACTTTTCTTCAATCCTGCTAAAAAGTATAGCATAAAAAACTGATACTTTAATATAAAATAATTCCAGTACGGTACTGGCTGATTTCTAATACTCTTGTCAATCACACTATCTATAGAGCTAAAAATGAATTTTCTTAATTCAAAAGTACGTACAAATTTAATTTCTTACAAAGAATGGTTAGCTGAAGAACCCATAAGAAGGATTGTTACTATCCCATACAAATAACTATGATTATTCCAGTAAGTCTTATCCATTAGATGAATATACCAATAGGGAATACCAAACATGAATACACCTATTCGAAATTTAAAGCCCAACATAATACATACAGCTCCTAAAATAATATTTATAGAAATATTTTAGGATTATAAAATACAGTTTCGTTCCAGCTATGTATAACACCAAAGTAAATAGTAAAACTATCAGTTGTCCATATCAAGATGTACATACCTACTAAACTAAGAAAAAATATGAATGCTTAACTATATTTACGTCAATATTTTTGACGTGCTAATATGAAAATCTACATACAAATGAATCGAAAAATACAATCAATTATACCGATCTTTCTATATCTACTGTATATCTGTTTGTATTATCAATACTCTTCTTTTAGAAATATATTGTTTAAATTTAATTTTCAAAGGGTAATCATTTGGGACCACCCTGTAATGTTAATAATAGAATCGTATAGCTACCTAACCACATCACTCCATACAACCAACACATTAGCGGATAGGATAGTGGTTCTAAACTAGGGAATAACGGGAAATGACAGTCCTGCGGGTTTCCCCATCGTAAATCAATTTCAGACCCTCCTCTCTCCTCAAAAACATCGATAGACATCAACAAACCTAAAAATAAACAAAATACATATAAGTTATGCAATAAAAATTAAGTAAATTAGATATATAGAATTCTTTTTATACTAGATACTTATATTATACAATATTCTTGTTATCTTGTTGAAAACATATTGACAATAAAAAATGTATATAATATATTACTGAAACGGCATTTTCAACAATACTAAAAAGTAATTAAAAGAATAAATTAAACCACCAATGATAATTAAAAAGAAACTTCCATCAACAATAGTCTCCTTAAAATAGGAGTTACAGAAATTCCTATAATCGCAGTAAAATGTTAATCTGAAACAAACGCCTAATAGACTGAAAAAATATTTTTATTCCTGAAACACTTATGGTAGATACCAAAGATTTTACTGACAAATGTAACTATTTAAAAATTGATACCTTTACTTGATCAAAGATACATTACTTTATAAACTACCATGAAGTACACATTAGAAGCTATAAATAAAGTTTTTTGTCTAATTTATATCCCGAAAACTGCTGAGTATTTCGTCACTGAATCAGAAAACTAAATTGCAAAGCTCCCTTCACTATCAGAACCAAAAACAGAAAGATAAACTATTTGAAATAAAAAGAACATTTAAAATATTTAACACGAACAAATATAATTATTAGCCGTATAATACCTTGACATTTTCATTATAAATAAATATAGTCAGATTTGGCCCTTAAATTAGCTAGATTTTGGCTAATCCTTTTGATATTTATTTCTGGCGATGAAACAGAAATGTTAGAAGTTAGAAGTTTTTGTTGGTAAGGCAAATTTGTTTACAGGCAAAGACCAACTTATAAGCTGGTTTTCACTTGAAATCTAACCAAGTGACATTTTAAAAATAAACAGTTAACTACTTTTATTTGTAGTTATCTGTTTCAGTTCGAAATGTCCAGCTGTTTCCACACATTAAAACCTATGTTATTATTCCTTTTTTACTAGTAACTTATGCTGTCTCATCAAAATATTTTAAACTTACCAAATAAAAAATCTTATTATTCCTAAGCTTGAGGCATCCCTGGGCTCATAAAAATATCCTACAATGTCTTTATACGTCAAATTCTTTATTTTATTCAACCGTTCTGTTAATTCTGACCAAATTCCTCCACATTTTTCAGAAAGTACACTGGATTTTATACGCATATTTCTAGTACCTTTACCTGTAACTAGAATTATGCCATTATAACAAACGGATTCAGGACATATAATACATATTAAAACGAATATTAAATAACCTAACTTAAACTAAAAATAAACTATTATTTTTTTCTAAAGAGACAGACGCTTATTTTTGTTTACTTATTTATAGAATGATTTATTAAGCAAGATGATTTATAAATCTCTATTCGATTGAACTTTGGCTTCTTTATCGTTCGTATCGTCAATGCGAAACATTTTTGGCTTAATTCCGCTTGGAAATATAAGATCGATTATGGAAAAACCCGCTTGGAACTTAGGTATTCATTCGATTCTAAATACATGGCAGGGAAAATACCGTATGATCGAAAAAAAACGGCGTCTAGTTGGCTTAGTAATGACCATCAATGACATTCCCCATATAACTTTAAATAAAATGACAGCGATGTTCATTCCACAGCCATCGTTGACGCCGTTTTTTTTTCGATTATATTTCCTATAGAATAAAAAGCAATTTTTCGGTAAAATGGCAATCAAGATGGCTGGTATCACCATGGCAATTTTCTAGTGACAGTTAGTAACTATTTTCAAAATCGACATTAGTTTATAGACTTTATTTAAATCTACCGGGTGCGTCTCAAAAGTGGCTCACCCCTATAACTTTTTTATTTTTTCAGATAAAAAAAACGAAATTTGGTATGTTAGTGTATAATATAAATTAGGATTGACTGATGTATTCATTTCTTTTCGGCCACTTCCTGTTTTACCGGAAATGACTACAACTTTTAATTTTTAAATGGCACCCTGGGTAATTTTTTACTTTATTCGATAGAAAATGACACTCTAAAAATATAATGACATATCATATATTAAGTTTTGGCATTTTCGCTTAAAACAAAATTGTATATTTGAGATGTATATTAGAAGTCGATACCAAAAATGATGAACAGGTTGAAATCCTAAGGAGCAGGAACATAATAATATATAAAACTGCATTTAGGTCGATCATAACATATGCAGCAGAAACAAGGTCTGATACAAATAGAGTCGAATTGAAAACGCCAGCAAAAATCAATACCTACAATAGAAAATGGTACAAAATTATTAGAACACAATGAGGGATACTAAATACAGGAAGGTGGATATGATCGCGGGGAAGATTGTGGAACAAAGCTTGCAGAAAACGTAAGACAACAGATTAGTTGAAAGAGCTAAACGAAACCAAGTTAACAGTAAATAAAAAAGCGTAAGAAAGACGTCCAAAGTAGTGGAGAGAATATTGTAGCTCATCTTCCAGGGAAGGCGATGATTCGTGCATCACGGATAAAAATATTCTCTTTAATTCAAGAGTATGGGTTTCAGTTCTATAAACTTGGAAATATATATCCTCCTGATATGTCCTGAATTCTGTTAGGGAAATTAGTAATCTGAAGCCAAATATTCGTACATTATATATATATAACATATATGGAAATAATAATCATTTGGAACAATAGTCTACTGACATGAAATAAAATCCATATTAGAAAGAAAATAAAGATTCATCCAAAACATTGAAATTAGTGGAATAAATTAGTGGTTTCAATTAGATTTTACACTTTTAGTATACGATCATTTACAATGTCTAAAAAAACATTTAAAAATATATATTTGATTTATAAAACAATAAAAATAATTTAAATAAAATAATAAACTTTTATTTCTATACTCTTTATTTTTCTCTTTTTTACCTCTTTAAAAAATTAAAAGTTTGTTAACCCCCTTTATACTACTAATTGAAAATTAAGCTTTAAGCTTCATTCAGAACCTGGCAACTAGTGGAATAAATTAGTGGTTTCAATTACACTTTATACTATTTAGTTAATGATCAATCACAATGTTTAAAAAGCACAATTAAAATTAATAGAATATCCTAGCAACAGCTTGCGGTGGTCAGTTGTATCCATAGAGAAAGCATAATATTTAGATTATAAAACAATAAACTTTTGGTATTTAACCACAATTTCTCTTGACGGATGATAATCAAAGGCCAAAACGACATTCCTCGCAAATTTTGAAGTATAATTAGGGGAAAAGTTAAAAGTTTCGAATGTTTACATTGAAAACAGAGGCACAAACTTCAATGCTAATTGAAACCACTAATTGCGAGGTTCTGAATAGAACTTTATTCAGAACCTAGCAATTAGTGGAATAAATTACTGGTTTCAATCAGCGTAGAAGTTTGTTTCTTTAGTTTCAATGTAAGCATTCAGAACGTCAAAATTAGTGGTAGATATTTTCAATTAGTAGAAAAACAAAACAAACAAATCAAACTTATACGCTAATTGATACCACTAATTTATTCCACTAATTGGGAGGTTCTGAATGAAACTTTATTCAGAACCTAGCAATTAATGGATTAAATTAGTGGTTTCAATTAGCGTAGAAGTTTGTTTCTTTAATTTCAATGTAAGCATTCATAACGTCAAAATTACTGGTAGATATTTTCAATTAGTAGAAAAACAAAACAAACAAATCAAACTTATACGCTAATTGATACCACTAATTTATTCCACTAATTGGGAGGTTCTGAATGAAGCTTAAGAGTGACACATTGATTTAACTCGCAACTACCTCCTTTTCATTAAAAAATACTAGTTTAAATGGCTTTAAGGGTTCATGTTCAACTATGATACGAACTGCAAAATAAAATTCAACAAATCAACATCAAATTTAAACTTTATAGAAAACAATTTATTATTAACTTTATTAAGTCTCTATTCTTACCTTCTTTAAAAATTCTACATCAACTGCACAAAGTTTCTAGAGAATTTCACTATTTATTCGAAAAATGGTCGCCACAACAACAAGGGTTCAGCGAGACGTAGGTAATTTGACGCGCGAATATTCGCTTTGAAAACTTCTTAATTTCCGATCATCTTCCAGCCCGCTAGTTAAATATGTTGTTACTTCGACGTTGTATCTAATTTAAATCAGAAATCATTTGGCTTCTGGAATAGACTAGACTCAACGTTGGTTAAATTGTGTAAAAGATGATTTAATGCAAGCTCCAAGGAATAAATTTCAAAGTAGCAAAATAATATCAATAATAAATAATCAAAAATATTTAATATTTTTTTTGCATTTCCCCTCCACCAAAAATATTTTTGGTTTTATTCCCTTTATCTAATATATAAAATTCTTGTGTCACAGTTTTCATTACCACACTCCTCGAAACGGCTTGACCAATTTTGATGAAAATTTACACGTATATTGAGTAGGTCTGAGAATAGATTTTTATCTATTTTTTAGGCCCCGTAAGTGATAATGCTGGTCCACCCCATTTTTTTTACTTCTAGGACAAAATATTTTTTTTTTTTGATGTGGCATTAAAAAATACATACAAACATAAAATTTGCACCCTCTACCATCAACCCCTGTTTTTTAATAGGGATATTAGCGAGGGGTAAACCGCAGAGGAATTATGGTGTACACTATGAAGGAATTCTACAGGAATTCCAAGGAATTCCATAGGAATTACTAGGAATTCCAATTATTTCCGTAAGAATTCCAAGGAATTCCTTAGAAATTTAGAGGAATTCCACAGGAATTAAGAGGAATTACAAGCAACTTTATAAAAAATTAACGAACATTAGTAAACCATGAATACTATAATAGGTAGTACTAAATTTAAAGAAAAACGTTTTGCAGGCGATTTTTTACTATCCGTTTTTCGTTTTCGCTTCCAAAATTTCCCAATATCAAATATCTACAGGTTAGATATTCTTTTAATTTAATATTGTACCCTCGATTATATATCTAAAATATTTTCCAATAGTACGGCCGAACCACCCCCGAGAGATCTACTTATAACGTTCCCTGATTTCGCCATTTTAAAGAAACCCTCATAAGATTTTTTTATTCAGTACTCCAGAAAGTGTAAAGTTGATTTTTTCATTTCCTCGGAATAATACCTAGGTATATACTATAGGGAAATTAATACAACTTTAGGTGCACTTCATCAATGATACCATGCGTAATCTTATGGAATTTACTGGTGATCGTATTATGACGTGCAACTGAAGTTTTATTAATTTCCTTTCCTATAGATACGAGTATAACTAGGTACCTATCATTTTCAAAAATCCGAGAAAAATTAATTTTAATAAGTAAGTGCCTACATATTTCCAGTATTTTTACCTCATGATCCCTTATTAATCCTAAAATTTAACTAAAAAAAACGTAAATCTTGTAATAGTACTTTTTATTGTTAGATCTAGTACTTATAGAGACATTAGACATTTATAAAAATCACCAGAAAATTCATAGCGGAACTGCGAAACCGAGGTGGCAACGCTGGTTCAGACTGAAAGAGTTACCGAGTTCGTACCAAGGAATTCCAAGGAAGACCTTGAATGATCGACCTTGACCTTGAAGACCAGGAATTCCAAGGAATTCCGAAGGAATTACGAGGAATTCTGAGGAATTATTTGAGTAAAAGGAATTACGGTGTACACTTTTCCCTCTGCGGTTTACCCCTCGGATATTAGTAATTCAATAATTTTAATTTAACCGGGTAAATGGTATTTACCCAAATTCAATATACCTTTTGAGTATTACCGGGTGCAAAAACTTGGGTATTTACCCAAATTTCAATATACCTGCCCATCACTTACCTTAATAAATCACTTAGAAATTTTGTTTAGATACCCGACGCACTATTGCGTCAAGTACACGAGTCGTCAAAGTCAAACGCGTGGCCGTGTCTGTTAGTATATTATATTAAAAATTATAATAAATCTAGCTACGAAACAAAGCAGAATCGGACCTATGTTGATATGAAAAAAATCCGTAAATAAATCACTAATATTTTTTCGAAATAACCTGTATATTATTTGAATTGATATATTAAATGGAAGTCAGTAGAACAATATTATTCTTTTCTAAACATTTGGCATTATGAATGAATCAATAGTATGTTTTATAAGTATAAAATTTACATCACCTTTTTTTTAATCTTATTGAGTCTGAAAAGCATTGCCTCTTTTCATTTACATATTGAATTTTGACATAAAATATATTTTATTTATACTCTCATATGTAATACTCTTAATGGCATTAATGACTTTTTCATCACATTATCTAGAGTAATGAGTAGAGGAAGAGTAAAGGTACTCTTCCGTCTTCTATTTCACTCACCCATTTCCCGCA